GCTTTGCTTGTTTTGCCAAGGAGTCCAGTCGCTGGGCGGCCGACCTCGAGGTTTTCCTGTCGGATAGCTTCAAGGGCGGTCGGCCCGATAATGTCGGACTCGGGCGGGAAGGGCAGGAGCCCGAGCCTGAGCCCCAGGAGACCCCTGTGGCTGACGGGCTGCAGCTTGCGTGCCAGGACATGGAGGGTGGGTCGGAAGTTGGTGTTGGGGGCGGCGACGGGGGCGGGGGGACGAAGGCGCGTCGCTCCTGTTTCTCTGGCATCAAGAGTCAGCTGAGGCGGATCAAGAAAGGCCGTCACCCGCACGATCGCCACTCGTCTCAGGGCCTGACTCTAAGCCTTCCTGGGCCGTTGGATGCCGAGGATCGCGAGGCTTTGGGTCAGGCAATGCCTGCCGTCGCTGAGCTGTCTCAGTCTCACTGCGAGGCGGGGCGTCCTGCCCCAGATGTTGTTCCAGGGTTGGGCTGCGCCAGTCAGGACGTGGCCCTCGCTGCGTTCGGTGTGCGGCGCGAGAACCTCGAGCGCGTAGAGGCTCTCGGCCCGACCTCCAGGAGGGGCGGGTCCGATGTGGAGTCGGACTCGGCCGCGTCGGACGACGAGGCTTTTGATGCATCTGACTGGGTCTAGCCCGATCCTCAACATCAACTGCCCCTCTCTCCCTTCTTCCTCCCCGCTTCCCCCCCTTCTTCCTCCTCCCCCTCCGCCCCCCCCCTCCCTCCCCCCCTTCCGCCTCGTCCTCCCCTTCCGTCCCCGCACCCCCCGCCCCCTCACTCGCGGCAGCACCCGGCGGCATCTGCGGCAAGCCCCCCCACCCGCCACAGCCCGGGAGCTCCCTCGGGCAGGCGTCTGCGCGAGTGGCGACGGAGGGGTAGGGGGAGAAAAGGAGGAGGCGGAGCAGAGGGTGAGAAGAACGAGAAGGATATGGGAAGAAGAAACATAAGGGTTAGGAGCATAATGAAAAGAACAGGAGGGAGAAGGAGAAAAGAAAGGAGAAAAGAAGGATGAGGAGCAGAAGGAGAAAAGAGGAGAAGAGAACGTCATCGTTTATTTCGTCTTTGTTCTGCAGGTTGGCGCAGTCCCTCGCACCCCCCCAGAGAATAGATACTTGCTGTGTTGGGCGCCTGCTTCAAGCTGGTAGAGTAGTAAGCACGGGGGCCCCGCCTCCCCATAGGATGCCCCATGGGAGCACTGTTCCAAACAGTCGCAGTAAGCAGAGATCCAGATTCAGCCCCCCCCCCTCCACCCCCTCCACCCCCTCCTGCCGCTCAACGTCGAAACGCCGACATAAGGAAACTTTCACGAGGAGGAGGAGCATCGTAGTAGACGTGTGCGATGTGGAATTTCATGATGGTGGTAATGTTGAGGAAGAAATGGAGGAGGTGGACGAGGAGGAAGAGGAAGGTCGATACGTGTGACCTTTCCGTCGCACTTTCCGAGGGGGCCCCATAGTGCTTGTTTGGACAGTCGTGGGGCTGTCGTGGGATCCCATGGGGCAGTCTCGAGGGTCCCTTGGGGCCCTCTCGGGCCGTCTTGGGGTCCTCTTGGGCCATCTTGGGGCTTTCTTGACTCGCCGTGGGTGCTGATATGTACGTAGGGAGGGCGCGCGAGTCCAGGCTGTGCGCGTCGTGCTGGACAAGGTTGCGGGGGCACCTCTGCCAGGTGGCTGCCAGGATCGACGCCACCATTCCCGACAAGAGCGGGAGATCTGTCCCCAAGGGGGGGGGGGGCGGAGATGAGAACGATCTGTTTCCTCCTCCCCCTCCTCCCCCTGCCCCGATCGCCCTGATCAGCCGGCGCAGAGTCTCGCCCATGTCATGGGCTTGCCCGCGGAGGCCTTCGGAGCTCCCTTCCAGTAGCGCAGTGGTTGAACTCGTTGTTGGAGATCTGTTTCGGCGCCATGTGAGAGCGACGTTTCGCCGCGGTGGCCTCTGGTTCAAGCAGTGGCCAAGCGTCATGGCTCGCCTACAGCCCCACCAAACAATGTTCTAAGAACCTGTTGTGGTTTCCCACGACATGGTCTTAGAACAGTTCTGGTTGAGATTGTCTTGTTTTGACACATCGGGTTAATGTTCTAAGGACCTTGTTTTTGTTCTTGGAACACCTCTGGGTTCTAAGAAAAAATCGTGGCAGGACTATAGGAACGCCGGGACGGTCGGCCCCTGCCCAACTGGTGCGGGCATACGGGGCACCCAGATGGCCGCATGCGATGCGATGTCTCACCACCCACCAAACCACCCCAACCCAACCCGAAGGCCTCCATTTGCCCTCCATTTCCAGTTTGGGGGGGGGTCGGGGAACACGGACAAAACACCTATGGAACCCGTACCCCCCCCCGACCCGAAATTGGGGTCTTCGGGTTGGGTTGGGGTGGTCTGGTAGGTGGTCAATATCGGCGGCTGGCGCTCTCGGGCGCGCCCCGCCCCCGCGCCCTCCGAACGTCGGGCGCCATAGGCCTCCCCTCCCCCACAGGAGGAGGAGGAGGAGGAGGAGGAGGAGGAGGAGGAGGAGGAGGAGGAGGAGGAGGAGGAGGAGGAGGCGACGGCTGTGGATCAAGCCGAGAGGGCGGGCCGGCCGCGGGCGGCGCTGGGGGCCCAGCGGCCGCGGCCGCGCGAGGGGCGAGGGGGGGGGGAGCTGGTCTGTACTCTGCAGGAGGGGCAAAAAACACGCGGACACAGAATGACTCCCCAGACCTTCCAGAGAGCTATTTTTTAGCACTGGAGACCTAAAAACCTAAAAAGCTGAGCGAAACAGCCTAAAACCAAGACGTAGAATAGCTCTGGGATAGGTTTTTAAGTCGGGTTCCATTTTTTAGCCCTCCTGGAAGGTCAGGGTCATCGATCCCCAGGGAAAGGTGGGAAAACGTGGGAAGCGGGGGGGGAGACCAGAGCCCAGAAAAGATGGGAACATCTAGGGGCATCCTGCGATCTGTGTGACTTTCTGCGTGTGCCCCAGGGGGCCCCTCCAGCTGTGGTGGCTCACCGTGGGAGGTCGGCTGCCCCTTTGTGTGCTCTCCCCGCGCCGGCGCCCGCGGCTATGCCCCGACGGCGGCTGCCCGCGCGCCTCTCGTGGATCGGGCAGCCCCGTCCCCCGCCAGGCGTCGGAGCCGCTGCCCCGTCGCGGCGCGTTCGTCGGGCCATGCAGCGAACTGGCGAGGTGGCACCATCCGCTGATAGACATCTGCTGCTCCGAGACCCGCTCCCTCCATATATTGGGAGGCCACTCCGACGCACGCGGCCGCACCTCTCCGAGCATCAGCATCCGAATCTCCACTACGGCTGGCGAGCTCGCCGCAAGACGAGGCCACCCCTTCCCCCGCCTCCTCTCCCAGCTCCTCCGCTCCTATGCTCTCCCCCTCGCTTTTTGCTCGTCCCCCCTTCCCCATCATCTTTCCCCTCCTGCTGCCTCCTCCCCTCGCCCCCCAGCTTGAACCTCTTCCTCCTTGTTGCTTGAAGTCCGCCCTCTTGTCGGCGCGGCCCGATGGCAGGACCAGCGAGCTGCCGCTGGACGACGAGTCCCGCTGCGATGCGCGCGTAGGCAACTTTCTGAGGCCGGGGTGGGGCGTCCTCGTCGCGGTCGCCTCCGAGGAGGAGGAGGCGGAGCAAGAGGAGGAAGTACTGGACCCAGGCCACCCCCCGACGTGAACAAAACACACGACGGCGGTTTTCGTGGGGGGGGATTCGTTGCCAGAGTCACGGCATCTCCCCAGATTGCATGGCCCATTTTTCTGACCTCAACGCGTCCGTTGGGCCCCCCTGGGCCGTGTACGTGCCCCAGCCGTGATGTGCGAACCCCCCCCTCATGGACGTCCCCAAGAACACATCGAGATGTCGGAGGTTCAGATACAGTCGGGGCCCTGAAGAAGGAACCCTTTTCGTTGGGGAGGGGCTCCGTGTTCCTTCATTGTTTCGCAGCTTGCCTTGGATTTTCCTTAGGTTTCCGATACGAAATCGAAGCTCAACTTATGGAAGATAGGGGCCTCGTTCCTTATTTAGGGTCCCTTGGGTCAACGCCTCGACTGCACAGGGGAGACCTGGAGCCGTGTGCGCAGATAGACGTCGTCCAGGCTGGCGGATCGATGCCTCGGCATCTGTCGGGAGCGGCCAAGAGGGGGGTGTCCAAGAGGGGGGGGTGCAAATCATGACCGGCGGCATGTGCGCGGCCCGGCGGGGGGGCCAGGGACGTAATGAAATAAAAGAAGCGGCGCCCTGAAATCTGGGGAAATATCATGGCCCCCGCCATGAGATCCACCCCCCCCCTAGTCATCACCCCCCTCTCTCCCGCCCCCGAATCTGGGGGCGCGCCTTGCCCGATCCGTGTGCCCATCGGTCGCAGACAGCACAGCTGCGGGGTGTGGCTCCGCCTGTCGCTCCGCCGGCCCTCGCCCACCGCGCTCCGCCCTCGGCGCCCCAGCCGCTTCCCCGCCCCGAGGCGTCGGCGCCCCGAGCTCCGCCCGGCATCCCGCCCCGCGGGGGGGGAGCGACGCGCGGTCATCGGGGGCGGAAAAGAGGGGGGTGATGACTAGGGGGGGGTGGATTTCATGGCGCGGGCCATGATTTTTCCTCAGATTTCATGGCGCCTCTTCTTATTTCATTACGTCCCAGGCCCCCCCGCTGGGCCGCGCACATGCCGCCGGTCATGATTTGCGCCCCCCCCTCTTGGACACCCCCCTCTTGGCCGCTCCCGAGATCAGCTTGCAGGGCACAGCGTGTGCCGGGATCGCCGCCGCGACACGCCAAGCAACAGTTACTGACCGTCTATTTTGGGGGGGCTCACACGTCCCACTCTGCTTCAGGCGCCTTCCCATTGCAAAGGCCGAGCGGTTTTTCCCTCTTCCATCCCCTGCAGGGCGCGGGCGGGAACGCGATCTGCTTTCAACGCCTGCCTGCTTCAGGCTGCTGCGCACTGCCTCCGACCGACGGCAGACCCGTTCACCAGCCACCGCTCAGGGCTCAGGGCCAGTGCTGCCGACCTCGCCTCACCCCCCGCTGAACACGCGAACGCATGGCGCATCTGTGCAGGCTGAGTGGCAGCCAGCCGGGGTCTCGATCCGGTGCGGTGCCTCTCGCCGCGGCCCTGAAGAAATGTGGGGCCGCGAGGCAGTGGATCGCAGTGCTCGAGCTGCTCAGGGACGCGTCGCGGTCGGGTACGCAGGTTGACACCGTCTTTTACAACATGGCCATGAGCGCATGTGGAAAGGGCAGTCAGTGGCAGCAGGCAGTTGCTCTGCTCGGCAAGCTCAGGGAGGTGCTTTTGGAGCCAGATGTCATCAGCTTCAATGCTGGAATCAGCGCGTGCGACAAAGGAGGGCAGTGGCAGTCTTCTTTGTCGCTTCTCATTGAGCTGTCCGATACGATACTTGACCCGGACAATTTCAGCTACTGTGCTGCAATTAGTGCGTGCGCGAAAGGATTGCAGTGGGAGCGAGCGCTATCGCTGCTCAGGGAGATGTGCGAAGCGAAGTTGCAGCCCGACGTCATGAGCTGCAACTCTGGAATCAGCGCGTGCGAGAAAGGCGAGCAGTGGCAGCAAGCGTTGTTGCTGCTCAGGGAGTTCACACAGAGGCATTTGGAGACAGACGTCAGAAGCTACAGCGCTGGAATTAGTGCGTGTGCGGCAACTGGGCAGTGGACACAAGCACTCGCATTGTTAAAGGAATTGCTAGAGGTAATGCTGGAACCAAATGTTATCAGCTACAACGCCGGACTCAGCGCGTGCGGGAACAGTGAGAAGTGGCAGGAGGCGTTATCGCTGCTTCGCGGGATGCGGGAGGTTAGGTTGAAGCCAGATACCATCTACCGTCAACGTCTGAGAGCAGGGCTACGGTCGGACCGAGGTACAAGATCGAGGTCGGTTCAGGGATGGCATCCTAATGTTCATTGTGTTTGTTGAATGTTCCTGTGCATCCTGGGGGAGGGTACCCTCGAGTGTTCTTCAGTTTGGCCGACGAAGGGTCTCATGTTCTTGAAGGGTGATATTATGTCCTAGGTATGGTCGTACTTCATCTCTTGCTCCATCCCGTGGCTGACTGAGGATGCAGCGCTGGCCTGGGGAATCAGTTCACCGCTCATCCTCACCCTCGGTCGCCAGTCTGACTCAGGTGCCGCGCAGGGCGCGCAGCATCGTGTTGCTACGCGTTCTTACATCGCAGCTTCTCTTCCGAAAGCGTGCCGCTGATTCGTGCAATGGCATTGCCACCCTGCTAGACGCTCGTTCAACTTCATGGTGGGCTCGGCCTCAGCGTGAGGATTTCCGACTTCGTCGCCAAAACCGTCCTCGCCCTTCACACCTTGCAGCGCGAGTTGCGCACCACAATCGTGTGGCTGCAAGGGGCCGTCATGTCCATCGCGAAGCAGTCGCGGCACTGGCGAAGCGTCTGCGCGGCCGCTCCTGACTGGCAGCGCGGACTGCCACATCTGCGATCACTCCATGCCGCAGGTTCCGACGATGCTGGCAGCACGTATTTAGACACTTGTACAGCCGAGAGACGCTAGAAGAAGGGCCGCTTCGGCTCAGAGCTGAGTAGTCACACCAAGACGCTCGGCGCCGCGCCGCGGTACGAGGCTGCAGCACATGCTGGCCCACTTGTCCTGACGTTTGAAGTGTACCTGTGTACTTGTATCGGGCTTCGGCGGCTCTCTGCGGCTTTCGTGCGACAACGCCAACCCTCGTTCTCGGACGACTCCGTCCGTGCTGCTCCAGTCCAAGCTCCTGCTCGTGGCGCGGTCCAAGCTACCCCTGCTTGCAGCCACACTGGCCAGCGCGAGAATTACCCGCGCTCCGCAGGTGCCAGCCCAGGCAAGAGGACGCCCAGCGCAGCGAGGTGCGGAGCGCCTCCGAGCCGCTCGAGCACCTCCAAGCTGCGCGCCGCTCGCTCTGCTCACCACCCCCGTGTCAGTGTTCACCAGGAAGAGGAGGAGGAGGAGGAGGAGGAGGAGGAGGAGGAGGAGGACGAGGACGAGGACGAGGAGGAGGAGGTGGGGGAGGAGGAGGAGGAGGAGGAGGAGGAGGAGGAGGAGGAGGAGGAGGAGGAGGAGGAGGAGGAGGAGGAGGAGGAGGAGGGGAGGAGGGAGGAGGAGGAGGAGGAGGAGGAGGAGGAGGAGGAGGAGGAGGAGGAGGAGGAGGAGGAGGAGGACCCCCGCTTCAGGGGCAACGGCTGGGGGGTACTTGCCAGGGGGGGGGGGAGGTTTTTTCTCCCTGTGGCCGTCCCCCGATCGCCCCGCCCCTCACCACCACTGAGGGCTGCGGCTCGTCTCCCCCCCTTGTCGTTCCGCTGCGCCACCATACCCCCCCCCCCCCGTGCACCCCCACCACCACCGCACCCCTCCTGCCACAGCCTCCGGGGAGGAGAGCCTTCCCTTCTGCGCGCCGGGGCGGCCTCGCCTCTTGCATGGCCTGCTGCACGCACACAACGCCCAACCGGTCGTCCAGACCCAGCTCGGCGAGGCTTGCTGCATCGGGGCTGCGCGGCCCTTCGCTCTGCGGCGGCCGCGCCGCCGCGGCGGAGCGGTGGTCCGAGGCTCGCGGGGGCGCCCGGGGGCGCGCGGCGTCGGGGCTCGCCGCGCCCGCTCGCGTTGCCGCGGGTGGGCCAGGCGTTGCGCGCGAGGTGCAGGAGGCGCTCAAGCGGTTCAAGGAGGATGCCAATTGGAGATCTGGCGTCGGTCAAGCGGCCGAGTCTGCTGAGTCATTGTCTTGCCAGTCGAGGCCTGGTAGGCTCCGTCGGAATACATTGGGAAGGAGTCCCTGCAGACAATGCCATTGTCGTAACGAACAGCACACCCGTTTAGGTGAAGCGCGAGGCGGCGAGAACAAGGTGGAAGTGCATTGACGACGGTGGTTGTGTGGAGTGGATGCGAGTGCATTGTCCGTCGAGGCAGTCCATATAAAGTACTTCGTCTTCGAGGGCCGAAGAGGTGGCATTCCCATTTAGAAATGACAACATTCTGCCCCGACATTGCTGGGGGGGTCCCGTTTAGTGTCCCCCTAGGGAGGCTGAGGGGACCCCCGAAACCTGGCCCCGGCCACGGGCGGAATGCCGGCGGAAGAAGGTTTTTGCCATTTCTATTTCTTCGGCTTCCCCATGCTCCCAGACGCCCAAGAGGCCCCAAAGCGTGCCCCAGGACAGCCCCAATGGCCCCCGCGAGAGCGCCCACACGGACGACGAGACCCCCCAAGACGGCTCGGGAGGCCTCCAAGACTGCCCACGAAGGCGCCGGGAACGCCCTAAGAGAGGCCCCATGGCCCGCAAGATGGTCCAAGAGGGCACGAAGTCGCCGAGAGATCGGTCCAAGACGCTCAAGATTGTTTCAAAATGGGCCACTAAGCCCCCTGGACTGCCAAAGACGCCTTCAGGAGGGCCTCCAAGAGGGCCCCGCAAGGCAAATGTCACGCATGTCCTGAAGGTTTGTCGATGCTTCCCGCATTTCCACTTCTTCGGCTTCCCACGCGTGCAGAAGCCCAAGAGACCCCCACGCGCGCACCAGGACAGTCCCGACGGCCCCCGCGAGAACGTCCACACGGACGACGAGACCCCCCAAGACGCCTCGGGAGGCCTCCAAGACTGCCCCAAGAAGGCGCCCGGAACGCCCTCAGAGAGGCACAATGGGCCGCAAGATGGTCCAAGAGGGCTACCAGTCACCGAAAGACCGGTCCAAGACGCTCAAGGTGGTTTCAAAATGGGCCACGAAATCCCCAGGACCGCCCAAGAGGCCTCCAGGACGGCCTCCAAGAGAGCGCGGAAAGGCGAAAATCATAATTTTCCCAACATGTGGTCAATGTTTTTCGCATTTCCATTTCTTCGGCTTTCCGACGAATTCACAAGCCCAAGAGGCCCCAAAGCGTGCCCGAGGAAAGCCCCAACGGCCCCCGGGAGGCCTCCACGACTGTCCTAAGAAGGCGCCAGGAACGCCCTAAGAGAGGCCCCATGGCCCGCAAGATGGTCCAAGAGGGCACGAAGTCGCCGAGAGATCGGTCCAAGACGCCCAAGATGGTTTCAAAATGGGCCACTAAGCCTCCTGCACCGCCCAGAACGCCTTCAGGAGGGCCTCCAAGAGGGCCCAGCGAGGCAAATGTCACACGTGTCCTGAAGGTTTTTCGATGTTTTTTGCATTTCCACTTCTTCGGCTTCCCGATGCTCCCCGATGGCCCAAGAGGCCCGACAGCACCTCTTTCCATGTCAACTCAGGGCCCACCCGACACCACCCCCAACGATTCCTCAGAGTTTACAGAAGCCTGCAGAGCCCCACAATTCCATTCTTTCGCCCGTCAGCTTCTTCATCCCGGCGTTGTGGTCCCATCCCCCCTTTGGCCGGTGGTTCGCATGGACGCGTGCTGAGTTCACATCGTGGCTCCCATGTTCGCGTGCTGGGCTCACCCCCAAGACGCACCGTCGTTTTCTCGGCCCCCTGTCCCACCGGACAGCTCTGCCCAGGACTTCCGCCAGGTTCTTCACCCCGACGTTGTGCACCCATGCCCCTGCTTCGGCAGGAGACTCGCATGGAAGCATGCTGAGCTCACCTCCAAGGTCGGGGTTCGTGGCAATAGCAGGTTGAGTTCAGGGTTTCTGGAACTCGCTATGTATATGCGCAAGATGTATACGGTGGGGACGTTGGTCAAGGAATGTGTCCAGGAGATTTCAGCCCCTGGAGGACTGCTTCTCCGATGAGGGCGAAGGTGGTATCCTTTGCCGATCCAGCTGGTCCCCGGGACTGTCAAACATACCACTCGGGATGACAATACGGCTCTGGGAAAAGGGTCGGGTTTTCCGGGGACCCCTGTTTGAAAAATCAAGGCGTCGCATGTCTGGGGAACGCCCCCCCCCCCCCGCGGCCGCCCCGCTTTTCCTTTTCCCTCCTCCTGCATGCCAGCCAATTCGCTTTGCAGTGCCCCTGCGCAGCTGCCACGAAGGAATCCAGCGGGAGCTGGCGGAAACGAAAATCCGCCCCCCCCCTCCAGGAATGTTGCTATCTGGTTGGATTCCAGAACCCGTCACATGGGGGCACACCGCTTTTAGCCGCGCATCTGGCGTTCGCTTAGATCGAGGAGGCCAGGCGGGGCTGGCAGATAGCGAAATGGCGGCAAGGGGCAGGGAAAGAAAAAAGGACGCCTCGGAGGAGCGGACAGCGGAGGGCGCACTCCGGGCAGGATCAACTTGATTCGAAGAACAACACGTGACATAAACATAGTTTCTCGAAAAGTCCGCGCATATTTCTTGGATCGGCGCTGGGCCCCCCTGGCGGCGCCCCTGACGCGCTCTGTGCTCCAGAGAGGGGAATCCAGTGCCGATCCAAGAGATTCGCTGGGACCTCCAAAGACTTAGGTGTGTAAGGTGTTTTGTGCCTCTGTTGCCCAGGTAGCAGTGCAGCGGCACCACAGCACATCGGGGCACACAGGAGGAAGTCAGACAGAGCAGGCGGGCGCCGCGAGGTTCCACGTCGCCCCGTTCGTCTACAGTCGCGGCCACGGTACGCTTCCCTGTGCTTGCTGATCGGCGCCGTAGTCGTCGCATCTGCAGACGAAGCCGAAGGAACAGTCTCTACAGTGCAGCCCCCGCGTGACCAGTGCACGTCGTCGGGCGGAGCTTGTTCGGAGCCTGTTGGCGAATGCACTGCTGGACGTAGTCTTGTGTGCGTGCGTGCATGAAGCACTATTCCTTTGTGCCCTCCCCGCGGACCTTGGTGCCCCCCTGAGCCCCATGCCCAAACCTTATGATTAAGTCGGGCCTGTCCCTCTACAGGGGGAATATTCAAAAATTATATAACAAATAGTTTGGGGACTGTTTTTGAGTATTTGTTTGACCATTTTGGGTTATTGTTTGACTATGTCTTATTTTTCGTCGAAAATCCCCATGTAGGGGGACAGGCCCGACCTAACCTTGTGAGTCCAATGCTTCTTCATTGCGCAGTATTTGGCGGGTGAAAGTTCATGCGTGGGTTTGTGGCGGTCAGCTACAACGTCGGAGTCAGCGCGTGTGAGAAAGGTGGGCAGTGGCAACATGCGCTGTCATTGCTTCGCGAGTCGCGGCAGGTGGGCGTGGAGCTAGATTCGATTGGCATCAACGGCGGGGTCAGTGCGTGTGGGATCAGCGGGCAGTGGCAGCAAGCGTTGTCGCTGCTTCTGGAGGTGCAGGATGCGAAGCTGAAGCTGGACGTCGTTTGCCATAATAGTGGAATCAGAGCCTGTGCCAAAAGCGGACAGTGGCAGCACGCATTGATGCTATTCGATTGGTTTCGGGAAGCTTGTGTGGAAGCAGATGTCATCAGCTATAATGTTGCAATCGGCGCGTGTGATAGGGGCGGACAATGGCAACGAGCGTTGTCATTTCTGATTGATTTCTCCGAGGAGCCCTTCGAGCCAAACCTCCTCATTTATAACGCCGGAGTCAAGGCGTGCGCTACAGCTGGGCAGTGGGAGCAAGCGCTGTCATTGCTCTGGGAATCGTGGGAGGTGAGGTTGGAGCCAGATGCAAGAAACGTCTGAGTAAACGAGAGACCCTTCCGCATCCCCTTTGGATGTCAGATCCAAACATTCAGACGGTGATGGTGAGAGGTTTCACGTGTTTCGCCAGCCATGCCATGCCTCGCACCATGAGACCCGATGCTTCCGAGAGTTTAGGTGGTGACCAAGGGCACCCATACGGATGTATAACGGTGGGCATGAAGATACTGCTGACGACGACGATAATGACTATGGCGATTACTATGGCGATAATGACGATCATGACGATGATGTCCTGCTCCATCACCGCATTACGCGTCTCGGCAAGGTAGCGAGAACCGCTGAGGGAAGACAGCGAAAGCGAGGCAACCGATGCACTGAGAGCCAATTCTGCAGCGTGGCCTAGAAGTCCACCGGGAGTCAGGAGCGAGATCGATAGCGAAACTAAGAGCGAGGGTGAAGCCATACGCCTTTCATAAAAGCGACGCGTACCGACTTGCTTGTTGGAAAGAAGTGGTGGGCTTGTCAGCGAGACAGGGAGGCGGAACGGCACAACAGTTCAAGGCGAGAAAGTGACAAGTCATGAGAAGAACCTTCGCTCTCTCTCTCTCTCTCTCTCTCTCTCTCTCTCCCCCACACGCACGCACCCTCCTTCCGGCCGTCGCGGGTGGGCGACACGCCACGGCGTCGGAGGCGCCTGCGCGGGGCCCGGGGCCCGCGCACGCGCCGGGCTGCCAGAGACGAGGGCAGGGCGCAGCAGGCCGGGGCGGCCGGCCCCTCACCGGGCGGCACGGCGTGCGAGGGGCGCGCCGCGCCAGGCGGGCGCCGGGCGCGGGCACGGCTCGGCGGGGAGGCGGCGGTCGCAGGGGCGGCGGTGGCAGGGCGGGGCGGCGGGGCCTCGATGGCTGGGCAGCGGGGGCGAGCGAGCGCGAGGGGGCGGCGGGCGAGGGCGGGGGGGGGCGCGGCGAGCGAGCGGCGCGCCGCGCCCAGGGCGGGCGAGGCGGAGGCTGGGCGCGGCCTGCGGGCGGGGCGGGCGGGGCGCGGGGGCAGGGCGCGGCCTGCGGGCGGGGCGGCGGCACACGTCCCTGACCTCGTGGAAGTCGATTGGTGGAGGGGAAGCATGCTGCCAAGTGATTTCCAGATGTCTGACAGATGTTTCACATGTGGTTGAGCTATGTTTTTTCTATAAATGACAAACATGTTTCAAACGTTGTTATAATATGCTGTGTACATGTTAGGCACATCTGTTATCAAAGGATAGGACTGTTAGGGTGTCCATTGTCATGGCATCCACAGCCATGACCATACAGTAGACCCGCATAGTAAGGATGGGCAACCTTCCCACGGGTACTCGTGCCTCCTCGCCTCCTCGGTCCATCCTTCGCCGCTTTCGCTGGCCGCGCCCCGCTCGAAGAGCTTCGAGATGGGCGTCCGATGCCCCTGCGTCCTCATCGCGCGCCCTTGCTATATAGGAGGCCAGGGAGGCAAACTCGAGCCAGAGAACGGGCGAGGCGAGAGCGGAGGCCAGTTCCTGCCATCGCGCGCGAAGCTTGCGCCAACAGACACTGCCGGCAGAGTGCCGACCAGCTGTGGAATCGCTCTCGCGCTGGTTCCTCCGAGGCCGGGGCCTCCGCTGGGCGGAAGCCGTCTCCGGGAGCGGACGCGAGCGGGCCGAGGGGCCCGTGGGTGGAGGAGGAGGAGGAGGAGGAGGAGGAGGAGGAGGAGGAGGAGGAGGAGGAGGAGGATCGAGGAGGAGGAGGAGGAGGAGGAGGAGGAGGAGGAGGAGGAGGAGGAGGAGAGGAGGAGGAGGGAGGAGGAGGAGGAGGAGGAGGCAGAGGAGGAGGAGGAGGAGATGGAGGAGGAGGAGGGGGAGGAGGGGGAGGAGGGGGAGGAGGGGGAGGAGGAGGCGGCGCGGCGGCCGCCCTGCGGCATCGCAGGGAGGCCAGCCCCGCGAGAGGGCGGCCACGCCACCGCCCGGGGAGGGCCGGCGGGCCGCGAGGCGACGAGCGCCAGGGCGAGGACCGGCGCGCACGCCGGGTGGCGCAGCCTCGAGGCGATCCCCGCGGGGGGGCCTGCCCGGGACATCGAGCCCGGCCGGGGAGGGCGTGGCCCGCAGGGGAGGGCAGCGCTGGCAGGTCAGCTGCGAGGTGTGCTGGCGGAGGGGTCGGCACGCCGAGATGGAGGGGGGCTCCCGGTGCTCCAGCCAGGGTGCGGCCCATGGTCAGCAGGGGCGTCGGGGGCTCGCCCGCTCGGCGGTCGGCTCCCGAGGTGGGATGGGCGGGGGCGCTCTGCAGGGACGGGGCCCCGCGCGCGGCGCCCAGGCCCGAGGCCGCCGCGGAGGGCGCGGGGCTTCGGCGCCAGCGCCGCGGGCCGATCGATCCGGGGCAGTGGGCGCCGACCCTGGCAGGGAACGGCGCCGGGGCGGTTGTCGGGAGCAACGTCGGGTGCAGTGCCTGGGCGTGGGCGTCGGCCCAGTAAAGGGGGGGGGGTGCCAGGAGCGTCGTCGGGGTCGGCGTCGGGAGCGTCCTCGGGCGGGAGGCAGGAGCGTCGTCAGGGGCAGCGTCGTGGGCGTCGTCGGGACTGCGTCGGGGTCGCCGTCGGGAGCCAGCCCGCGAGGGGGCGTCGTCCATCCTGGACGGCGTCGGGGGCGTCGTATACGGAGCACGTGGCGCGACGGCGTCGGGAACGGAGTCCGGCGGAGAGTCGGGCGGGACGCGCGGGGCGGGGGCGTCAGGGACCGCGTCCGCGCTAGGGTGAGCTCCTAAGGCGGGGTGGGAGGGTGAGCCCGGTGACGGGGTCTCGGGCGTGGCGCCGCCGCCCGCACTGGGGGCTCGCTGCGGCTCGCTCACGCTGGGGGGCGGCCGCGTGGCGAGCGCGGGCGTCGATGGGCTCCGGGCGTCCACCCCCGCACCACGCACACGCCGAGAAGCCTGTGCGGCCTGTGCCGCGCGGCAGACAGCGCACCTGCGGGCCCCATGCCCCTCGTGGGCGTGGCGGGTGAGAGTGAGAGCCAAGGGAGGAAAAACAACCCTGACCAGACAACTGGCGTTTACTAAACGGCCGTCGGCGTTCACTGAACAGCCTTAGCCTGTTCGATTCCTTCTTTGGGCGCGTTTACTCCACGACTTCGCGCGTCGGGGCGGTGGTTATTATGGGGGTGGACTGTTTGACCTCTAGAGAGGGCGTTCGGGATTGGGGGCGCTCTTCCGCATACACGCCGTCCTCCCTCCCGTCAGGCCTCCTCCGCTGTCGCCGGACGCGGCCCTGGGGCCGGCGTCGCGGGCTGCGTCGGGGTGGGAGCTCTCCGACCCTCGGAGGAAGCGGCGCCGCGGGGCAGCGTCGGGGCGTGGGCCTCGGCCCAATGAGCGGTGGGTGTCAGGAGCTTCGCTGGGGTCGGCGTCGGGAGCGTCCTCGGGTGGGGAGCCGGCAGTGTCGGCGGGGGCAGTGTCGAGTCGTCGAGGGAGCGGCGTCGAGGTCGTCGTCGGGAGCCGGCAGGGGAGGGAGCGGCATCGGGAGCGGCGCCCTCGACGGCGCCGGGGGCGTCGTCGAGGGCGCCCGTGGGAGGACGGCGTCGGGTAAAGGCAGGCTGCACACCAGGCCGAGGACCCGAGGGGCCAGTGGGCGGGCGGGCCGGGGCAGCGGCCAGCAGGAAGAAGGGGCGCTTCCGAGGTGGGGAGCCTCGTTCGCGGAGTGCGCTGCGGGGCTTGGGCAGGGGCGTCGGCCACTGGAGAGGAGGGGCGGAGGGCGGCAGCGCGGGGCCCCGCCAGGGCCCGGGCGAGGCACGGCAGAAGCGGAGGGCGGCCCCCCCAAGGCTGTGGAGGACCCAGGGCCGGGGGCGGCGCCGGGGCCAGCGGCTGGGGCGATATGATATCGGCCATCCGTGAGCGCACGGGCGCGGAAGCTGACCACCCCTCCTGCACCAGAGGTCCAGGGATCATCCGCCAGAGAGTTCGGTCGTGAGAAGCCTCGCAACTGCAGGGGCTCTCGACCACCAGCAGCATCGAGAAGCTGAAGCTCGAGGATTTACGAGAGCACAACTCGGGGAAACCCGACCACGGATCAGAGAGCACGCTCGACCGAGATCCCTGGACGTCTCTGGCAGGGATCAGCACTCGCAGGAGCGCTGGTCCCTTCCCAAACGGCGGGGGTGTCGGGAACGGAGCCGGGCGGGGAGAGTCGGCCCAAAGAGAACAGGGCTCGCGGCAAAGGGGTGTCTCGGTCACGCGTGAGAGTGACCTTTTCGCCGGAGTGACCCTAGGTTAGGGGGCCACATGCGAACCCTACCCCTACCCCCTGCGATTTCTGAGGGGGAGGGTGGGGTTCACTTCGCTCGGGAGCTCCCGAACGAAGTGAACCCCACCCTCCCCCTCAGAAATCGTGGGGGGTAGGGGTAGGGTTCGCATGTGGCCCCCTATAGGTGCGGGCACAAAGGGGTCCCCCGATCGCGGAGCGCGAAGCGGCAGCAGCGGCTCGTGCGCCCAGGCCCCCCGGTGAATCCGCGCGGTCATGCTTGCCCAGGGTCACCTCTGGCGTGTGGTCGAGTGTCGCAAGAGGCCGAGGCAGGCACGCGCACAGAGACACACACACACACAAACACACACACACACACACAAACACACACAAACACATACACTCACATGGCACACAGCCACATGGACCTGCCATTGCATAAGAAAGGCAGGATGGCGATAAAGAGAGAGAGAGAGAGGCATACACGAACATAAAGACATATAGAAGGAAGCACATCTATATATATAGAGAGAGAAGTATATACTACACACTGTCAAGTCGGCGGCGCAGAGGAGCCTCAGGCGCGAGCAGCAGATGAAAGTGCCGATTGCAATCGAACGTAGTCGACGGCACAGTGTACCAACCGCTGCATACTGTCAAATGCAGCAATAGGTGGCGCGAACGAGGAACCGCAAGTCCAAGCGAAACGTGAGAGACAGACACCCGCACGGTGAGCCTCCTTTCTTTTTCAATCAAGTCCTCAACTTCCTCTTCGTCCTTGCGAAGACCGAGGACCACCAAACACTGCTATACAAAGTTGTGTTTTTGTCCGGACGGCCAGCAGACCTCGCTACACATCCAGCAGACCTTGCTACACATGTTAGGGCTGATTTTCAATAGTTTCCGGATCTTCAGTTGGACAGGCTTGCGCGACGATGTCCGTAAGAAGATTTGGTTGTTCTCCAGACTTGGAAACCATGTTGCACAATGTTTGGAGGACCACCAAGCCTTGTTATGCACAGAGTTGCCTGGTTCTGAAGTGAGTGCGAACGTCGGCCAGGAGGGGTTGCACGTGGACTTGCAGGGGATGCAAGCGAGAACGTCAGGAGCATGTTCGAAAGATGCGGCAATCAACGTCGTGCGATGGATACTCGTCAGCAACATTCGTCAACGTGGTGCAATGGACACTCGTCAGCCTAAACACGAATGTTAGCCTATGTGTTAAGCAGCTGCGCTTCTTCACGTCATCATCTGCGTGAGGGCGCGCTCGGTTTCAATAATTTGAGGATGTCAAACCCGAGACGGCCATGAAAAGATGAACGGCGACACCAGCAATCGCCTCTGAGCTCCATCCCCTAGGCGAGGTGCGTATGTGAACATATGCGTGTTCGTGTGAATCTGCATATGCCCATGTATGCGGCACGTGAAGCACGTATATCAAGGGGAGAGACAGAGGGAGAGAGGGAGGGAGAGAGAGATAGAGAGAGAGAGAGAAAGTCATCCACATGTTGCTTGCGTAACTTACCTGTACGACCACCTTTCAGGTGATAAGGAGATTGGGGTCAGGGGAAGGAACCAACTGCTGACAAATGCGATGGGTGTGATGATGACGATGCTGGTGGCGCGCCCTCGAGTTGGCGACGACGCGTGATGACGATGTTGCGCCGCGATGCGATGTCACTATCGACCCCGCTATCGATCTCACTCGATCGATCTCACCATCGTCCTCACGGCCAGTCTACTAGAATCGATGGATCGAGCGATCGATCCCATCAGCGATCCATCCAACTATCGATCTCACTACCGATCTCACCACATTTCGGTCGTTATCGCTCTCACCATCGATCTCACCATCGATCGGGACACCGTCGGGACACCACGGCGGGACACCGCGGGACACCATTGGACACCACGGGGCACCATCGGGACACGGCGGGACACGGCGGGACACCTTGGGGACAACGCGGGACACCACGGTGGGACACCCCCAGCCACCGCGCGCCCACCCGAAGGCCGATTTTTTTGTATCCGAATCGCCGTAGCGACGACGGGGTCATTCCTCTCGCCCGCCCACTGCGGGACACCACCGGGACACCGTGAGACACCACCGCGGAACACCCCCAGCCCCCGCGCGCCCACCGGACAGCCAGACTTCTGCATCAGAATCGTCCTGGCGACGGCAGGATCATTCCTCTCGCGCGCCGACGCAGCTTCGCCCCGCCCGCACGCACGACACGAACACGAAACCGAAACCGATTTCCCGGTGGAGGGCTTCTCCGTTCCATTGCGATCTCACCCCCCAACACCCGATAGAGAGAAAGAGAGAGAGAGAGAGCAAGAGAGGGAGAGAGAGAGAGAGAGAGACAGAAGAGAAAAGGAGCGAGCTTAACGAGAAAAGCACTGGAATCTACACAGGCAGCGTGAAGTCTGTGAATATATGTATATATAGAAAACGATAGCAGGAGTGGGGGCGACGGTGAGACCTTGGCATTCGCCGTGCCCCGCAAATTCTATGCCTGCACGGACTTGCGTCTGCCTTACAAGTGGTTTGAGGTTGTTGTACAGTTCACGAAGATTGACACGCCCACGTGCACTTGATTGCGACGCGCATGTCAACTGCCTCTGCGTCTACATTATCGGGCATACATTATGGAAGTGAAGCGGGCGTCTGGGGGGGCGAGCAAAATACGTTGGACACATGAGGATTGCACTAGACGGGTCGGCTTTGGTCATCTATAATTCTGGCATCAGCGCATGCGAGAAGGGCGGGCAGTGGCAACAGGCGCTGAGTTTACTCAGAGACTTGCTGGAGGTGAGCTTGGAGCCACACGTCAACCTCCTCTGTGCTGCTGTCGAGGCGTGTGGTCGAAGCGGACAGTGGCAGCGCGCACTGTCGCTGTTTGGGGAGTCGAGGAACATGCGGCTGGAGCTGGACGCCATGATCTACAGTGCTGCAATGAGCGCGTGCACCACTGGTGGGCAATGGCAGCAGGCACTGTCGCTGTTCCGGGAAGCCAATGAGGCCGAGATGGCACCGCACATCACATGCTACAACGCCGCAATAATCGCGTTCGGGAGAGGCCGGCAGTGGCAGCATGCTTTCTCAATGCTTCGGGATGTGTGGGGTGCTAGCTTGGAGCCAAACGTTCTCAGTTATAATGCTGGAATCAGCGCGTGCGCGAAGGACGGAGAATGGTTGCACGCGCTATCGTTGCTCCAGGAGATGTCGGATGTTATCGAAGACGCCTACGGCGAATCACCGCCACACCCTGCGTTTTTGAAAGCGCGGCCGAGCGTTGTGACCAGAGCTCGGCCAAGCTGTCGGACTATGTCCTCTCCCAGCCGTTGTGGAAACCCTTCGGGGAATACGTGGGGAGACAGAAGAAGAGGAGGAGAGAAAGGAGAAATGAGGAGGGGGAGGAAGAGGCTGGGGGAAAAAGAAGGCTCTATTGGGGGCCTCTTTGTGCCTCTTGGGGACCTTTGGGGGCTTCTTGGGGGCCTCTTTGGCCGTCTCAAGGCGTTCCTGGCCCGTCTGACGCCATCGGAAGCTGTCTTGGGAGCCTCTCAGGACCGTCTTCGGGCCTTCTCGGGGCGTTCCATGGCCGTCTTGGAGGCCATCTTGGAGCCTATTGGGCCGTCTTGGGCCCTCTTGTGGTCGTCTTGGGTGCCCCTTGAGCCGTCTTGGGGCCATCTTGGAGGCCTCTTGGGCGATCTTGGGGGCCTCTTGGGCCGTCTTGGGCCGTCGGGAGGCCGAACACAATGCCGCAATCCTTCAAAAGCCATCAGAAAGCCCATAATGCCTTTCCGGGACTTCCGGGATGTCTTCGTGGAGGCCTCTTGGGCCGTCCTGAAGGTCTCTTCGGGGCCGCCTTGGGCCATCTGAAGGCCATACTGGACCGTCTGTGGTGCATCGCGGGCCGTCTTGGAGACATCTTGAAGCCATCTTGGGTTCTCTTGGGGCCATCTTGGCCGTCTTGAAGGCCACCTGGGCCGTCTTGGAGGCCATCATGGGGAGAGAGGCCTTTGGAGAACGACATGTACGCAGCTTTCGTTGCCGATAGGTTGTGCCAAAGGCCCGCTGGGAACTTTTAGAAAGTACCATCAACTGCCTTCCGTGTGGCACGCCGTGCACCCCTGTGGCAGGCCAACAGGGGGCGGCGAATCGAAGACGCCTACGGCGCATCACCGCCGCCCCCTGCCGCTTAGGATACTCCTGTGTGGCCAAACGCTTGGGCCAAGTTTGGCCACGCTATTGGACCATGCGTTCCCCCAGCCGTTGTGGAAGCCCTTCGGGGAACACGTGGGGGAGGAAGAGGAGGATGAGGAGAGGAAGGGAAAAGGAGGATGAGGAGAAGCATGAGAAGACCTCTTGGCAGCTTCTTGGGTCACTGTGGGGGCCTCCTGGGGCCTTCCTGGGGGCCTTCTGGAGGCCTCTTGGAGGCCTTCGGGGGCTTCTTGGAGGCTTTCGGGGGCTTGTTTGGGGCCCCTTTGGCCGTCTTAGGGTGTTTCTGGCCCGTTCAACGCCATCAGGAGCCGTCTTGGGGGCCTCTCCGGACTGTCTTGGGGCCTTCTTGGGTCGCTTCAGGGACGTCTTGGCGGTCATCTTGTGCGTCTCGGGCCTCTCGGGGCCGTCTTGGGGTCTCTTGGATAGTTACCGGGCCATCTTGGAGGCCTCTTAGACGATTTTGGGGCGATTTTTGGGGGCTCTTGGGCCGTCTTGGACCGTCGGAAGGCCGAAAATATGCAAATGCTAAAATCCCTCAAATGCGAAGGACAATCAATGATTTTGACTTCTCTTAGGCCGTTTTAGAGGCCTCGTGGGCGCTTCTGTCGCCGTCGTAGGCTCTCTTGGACCATCTTGGCGGTCGTGGAAGCATCGTGGGACCGTCTTGGAAGTTGGGGCTATCTGGACCTCTCTTGGGGCCATCTTGGCCGTCTTGGAGGCATCTTGGAGGCCATCTCTGTTCATCTTGGCCGTCTTGGAGCCGATGGGGCCAGTGGAGACCGAAAACATGGAGCTTCCCAAGTGGCCAGCGCAATGAGCCGAAGCCCCAGGGGGAGTCTCAAAAAGAACTTAAAACCATCAGACGTTCAGCACGCCAGGCCCCCCTGTGATAAATCAACTGGGCGGCGTTATCGAAGACGCCCACGGCGAATCACCGCCGCCCCATGCCTGTTTGAAAGCGCCTGTGTGGCCGAACGTTGAGGCCAGACCTGCCAAGCTATCGGACCATGTGTTCCCCGAATCGGTCTGGAAAGCCTTCGGGGAACACGTGGGCATCTTGAAGGTCATATTGGCCGTCTGGAGGCCATTTTGACCCTTTCGGGCCTTCTTGGAGGACGTCTTGGAGGGCTCTTGGGCCGTCTTGGAGGCCATCTTGAGAGTCCTGGAGGCCTCTTGGGCCGTCTTGGGGGCCCAGGAATCTCCCGGGAAACTCCCGGGACACCCGGCGGCAGGGGCCGAAGCCCCAGGGGGAGCTCTTTTTTAGAAAATGAGCCCAAACCAAATCCATATAGCTTGGCACGCCGGGCACCCCTTTGCTGAAGCAAAAGGGGGCGGCGGATCGAAGACGCCTACGGCGAATCACCGCCGCCCCCTGCCTTTTTGGAAGCGCCTATGTGGCCGAACGTTGAGGCCAGACCTGCCAAGCTATCGGACCACGTGTTCCCCGAATCGGTTTGGAAAGCCTTCGGGGAACACGTGGGCATCTTGAAGGTCATCTTGGCCGTCTTGGAGGCCTCTTGGGCAAGCTTTGGGCGATCTTTGGGGCTTTTTGGGCCGTCTCGGGCCAGCTTCGAGCCAACTTCGGCCATCTTGGTGGGTTCCTGGCACGTCTGAAGCCGTCGGAAGCCGTTTGGGGGGCCTCTATGGGCCGACTTGGGGCCCGCTTGGAATGCTCCAGGGCCGTCTTGGAGGCCATCTTGGGCGTCTTGGAGGCCATCTTGGGCGTGTTGGAGGCCTCTTGGGCCCTCTTGGGGCCCTCTAGGGGCCATCTTGGAGGCCACTTGGGCCATCATGGGGCTCTCTTGGGGGCCTCTTGGGCGATCTTGGGGGCTTCTTGGTCCGTCTTGAGCCGTCGGAGAGCCGAAAAGGCGCAAATGCCAAAATCCTTCAAAAACCAATTGAAAATCAATGATTTTGGCCTCTTCGGACTCTCCTGGAGGACCTCTTGGAGGCCTCTTGGGCCGTCTGGGAGGCCTCTGGGGGGCCTCTTGGGCCGTCTTGGGCCGTCTTGGACTCTCTTGGGCCGTTTTGGAGGCCGTCTTGGACCATCTCGGGCGGACTTGGAGGCCATCTTGGGCCATCTTCGCGATTTTTTGAGGATGTCCCGAGCGAAACGGCCGTTTTTGGGCATTGACAGATGGATTTTGGGAAATTTGCGGGTGGCCGGCGGGACGGGCCGAAGCCCACTGGGGAGTTCTTTTAGAAAAAGAACCAAAACCAAAACCTGACAGCTCATCCAGCACGCCGTGCACCCCTGCAAGCAGGGGGCGGCGGATCTAGTGGCCCTCGGCCCGTGCCGCCACCGTATCCAAGGTCGAGGGCCGCAGGCCTCTCTTGGATGCCTCCCGGCGTCCCCTCGGACGCCTCGCTGGACCTCGCGGCCCGAAGGGGCCTCGCGGGGCCACGCGGGCGACCTCCTCGAGACTCTCTTGGGCGTCTCGGGGGCCTCTTGGCGGTCTCGGGGGCCATCCCGGCAGTGGGGAGCTCCCGCGGCCAGCTCGGTTTCCCCCCGTCGGTGGCCCCCTGCCTTGAAAAGCGTGGTGCTCCCAGCAGCATCAGTGTGGCTGGTGGGTTCTCGTTTTGAACCCACAGCGCCGCAGTCCTCACTGATGTATTCTCAGGGTGAGGGGGCCGAACGGTCATTCATTGTCCTTGGGTGCGTGGCTGCAGTGGAGATCCGAAGTGGGGATTATGCTTTTGTTGTTGTTGTTGCTGTTGCCGTTGCTGTTGCTGTTGCTGTTGTTGTTGATGTTGTTGTTGAACTCTCACTACTGAAGAATAATTATAGTTGATCCCCCGGTGCACATGCTATTGTTCAATTGAAGTGCCCCTCCCGGCGCTCGCACCCTGTGTTTTTTTTCAGGGAAAGTATTCCTCAAACTGTGTTGTTGGCACCCCGGTTACAACAACAACGGCTCCCGCTTGAGATTTCCCTACAATTTCAGCCTGGACCCCCGCTCCCGCCCGAGACTTCCTCGCATGTTATTCAGGAATCGCATTCTTGCTTAGGACGTCCTTACAATTTATTTAGGAATCGCTCTCTCGGCGCTCTGGAGTCGCGCTCTCGCTGGAGACTTGCTTGCAATGCTCTCAAGAATAGCACCCCTGCGTGGGAATTTCCCGCAATTTACTCAAGCGCCGCGCTCCCGACACTCAGCCACCCAGGAGTCGCGCTCACGCTTAGGACTCCCTCAAAGATTATTTAGGAATCGGGATCTCGCTGCCCTTCGTGGCCCCGTTGCAGCCCTTCGTGGCCCCCTCGCTACCCTTCGTGGACCCGTTGCAGCCCCTCGTGGCCCCCACGCTGCCCTTCGTGGCCCCGTTGCAGCCCTTCGTGGCCCCCTCGCTGCCCTTCGTGGCCCCGGTGCAGCCCCTCGTGGCCCCCTCGCTGCCCTTCGTGGCCTCGTTGCAGCCCTTCGTGCCCCCTCGCCACCATTCGTGGCCCGTTGCAGCCCCTCGTGGCCCCCTCGCTGCCCTTCATGGCCCCGTTGCAGCCCTTCGTGGCCCCTCGCTGCCCTTCGTGGCCAAGTTGCAGCCCCTCGGGGCCCCCTCGCTGCCCTTCGTGGCCCCGTTGCAGCCCTTCGTGGCCCCCTCGCTGCCCTTCGTGGCCCCGGTGCAACGCTTCGTGGCCCCCTCGCTGCCCTCAGTGGCCTCGTTGCAGCCCTTCGTGGCCCCCTCGCTACCATTCGTGGCCCCGTTGCAGCCCCTCGTGGCCCCCTCGCTGCCCTTCATGGCCCCGTTGCAGCCCTTCGTGGCCCCCGCTCGTTCGCGCCCGTCGTGGCCCCATATGCATGCCCTTCGTGGCCCCGGTGTCGCCCTTCGTGGCCCCCTCGCTGCCCTCAGTGGCCCCGTCCTTGCCCGCCGCGGCCCAATATACGTCTGCCCTGTGTGGCCCCCGCTCGTTCGCACCCGCCGTGGCCCCATGTGCATGCCCTTCGTGGCCCCGCTGTCGCCCGTTGTGGCCCCCTCGCTGTCCTACGTGGCCCAGTTGCTACCCTCAGTGGCCCCGTTGTTGCCTTCTGTGGCCCCGCATTGTCTGCCCTTCGTGGCCCCCGCTCGTTCGCGCTCTTCGTGGCCCCCCACGCATTCCCTTCGTGTCCCCGCTGTCGCCCTTCGTGGCCTACTTCGTGCCCTTCGTGGTCCTGCTGTCGTTCTCTCTGTCGCTCTCGCTTTCGCTCGTCGTCGTCGTCGTCGCCGTCGTCGTCGTCGACGTTGTCGCCGTCGTCGTCGTCGTCGTCGTCGTCGTCGTCGTCGTGGTCGGTCCCCTGTCCGTCCCTCTTGGGGTCGGGTTGCCGCCGACCAGCGCTGCCGCTGGCCATGCCGACGGTCCGCGGCCGCCCCGCCGCTTGCCGGGCCCGGCCTGCAGGGATGAAATGCATACCCCCCAAAAGGGGTACGGTCGAAGACGACGAAAAGGGCGGGTATCGAGGGTTCGGGAAATACGCGTTAACGGACACTCGAGCAGATAAGAGCGAACAGTCTTAAAATGATTGTTGTTGTTGCTGTTGTTGTTGCTGCTGTTGTTGTTGTTGGTGGTGTTGTTGTCGCTGTTGCTGCTGCTGTTGCTGCTGTTGTTGTTGGTGTTGGTGTTGTTGTTGTTGTTGTTGTTGATGTTGTTGGTGGTGGTTTGGTGTTCTTGTTGCTGTTGTTGTTGCTGTTGCTGTTGTTGTTGCTATTGTTGTTGTTGGTGTTGCTGTTGTTGTTGTTGCTGTTGCTGCTGTTGTTGGTGGTGTTGGTGTTGTTGCTGCTGTTGTTGTTGCTGTTGTTGTTGGTGGTGTTGTGGTTGGTGGTGTTGGTGTTGGTGTTGTTGTTGTTGTTGTTGGTGTTGGTGTTGTTGTTGTTGTTGTTGTGATTGTTGTTGTTGTTGGTGTTGTTGTTGGTGGTGGTGGTGTTGTTGTTGTGATTGTTGTTGTTGTTCTTGGTGTTGTTATTGTTGTTGTTGTTGTGGTTGTGGTTGTGGTTGTGGTTGTGGTTGTGGTTGTTGTTGTTGTTGCTGTTGCTGTTGCTGTTGTTGTTGTTGTTGTTGTTGAACATTATTAATTCTAAAGAATAATTATTGTTGGGACCCCTGGTGCACGGCCCCCCTGCGCCGCCTAGGCCGCAGCTACATTTTCATCATTTTCGTGAGGAAGCCTCAGGTAATTCGATGTGATCAAGATCCGGTTGTTTTGTTGTAATCCGCTTTCCCTTGCAAAAAACACTATAAAATGACATTTCTTGTTCTAATATAATCAAATTTCAAGAATCCCTTGCAAAAAATAAGGTAAAGTGGACATTCGCGCGCGCAAGACGAAATCCTTCCAAAAGCTTAGTGTTCGGAGCGATTTTAACATAAAAACATCAAAAAACCAATGGTTTTTCAACAAAAAAATGTCAAAATCTCATCCCGCGCGCTCTTGCGGATTCGTAGGAAACCCAACACTTTTTAAACATTTCTGTCAAACGGGCTTTTGCGAGCAACTTTTTCGAACTTCTGCGACAACGGTTGCGCACCTGCCAGGGCCATCATCCCTGTCAAATAATACCATGCGGGACACATTCGTTTTTTCTTCGCGCGCGCACGCCGAAATCTCCAAAAACCATTGGGTTTTTAAGAATTTTAGCACCGCGCATCATAAAATCAGGACAACCATCGGGACAACCATATCCTCTCTCTTTTGTGTATTCCCACATCCCTCAGGAATTTGCCCTAAAGATGTGATCAACTATCTTGTGAGTACGTATCATGTGTATCATGTGTATCATGTACCATATGCATCATATGCAACAGATGTTCTGTGGAAGGCTTAACAACTTCTGTGGGTTAACAAGGCTTAACAACTTCTGTGGGTGTACGAACGTAGGCTTAACAACTTCTGTGGGTGTGTACTCCACGCCAGTGTAGTAGCCACGGTCGTCCGCAGGCCACGAAGTGAAGTGTCCGAACGTCATAGGGCGGGAAGCTGGGTGTGGGTGGTGGCGAAGAGTCGTGTGGATATTTGGTAGAGCTTGCACTGCCCCCCCACAAAGTGGGGGTATTGGCTGGCGTCGCATGAAAACCCTGGCACTGGTGAGAACACTGAGCGTTCGGGTAAAGTGATTGTTGTTGTTGTTGGTGTTGTTGTTGTTGTTGTTGTTGTTGTTTGTTGTTGTCGTCGTCCCCCCCGCGACCCACCCGGGACCCACCCCGCGACCCACCCCGCGATCCACCCCGCGACCCACCCCGCGACCCACCCGCGTCCCAACCCGCGACCCACCCGCGACCCACCCCGCGACCCACCCGCGACCAATCCGCCCACCCGCGATCCACCCCGCGACCCACCCGCGACCCACCCCGCGACCCACTTGCGACCCACCCGCGACCCACCCGCGACCCACCGACCCACCCGCGACCCACCTGCGACCGATCCACATTGGTTTGAAGAAAAAATCGGTGCGTGCGGCGGGCTCGTTGTATTATTTGTGAAACTTTGGCGCCTGCGGCGGGTTTCTCCAGAGTCTCGCAGACTGCCGACGTCCCCACCGCCCCCTCACTCTTATCCGCATCTGCGGGGTGCTACGTATGGCTTGGTAGGGATCCAGTCTGCGTGGGTTTCATGGCTGTTTGGACTGCCACTCCACAGACCCCCCCAATCCCAGCGTTCACCGAATGTCTGCCCTGCCCTTGGGACAAACAATGGGTGAATGTCTATAGACCTCGCCGGGCGACCGTTCAGATTACCACGGGTGCCAGCTGGACGATTGCCTTAAGTTGCCACAGTTCTGGCTATGCATGTTTTGCGGCGCCCGCCTTTGCTGCAGCCAGGCTGTGGCCGTTTCAATGTCGTCGTCGGCGTCGTCGTCGTCGTGCTGATCGTCGTCGTCGTTTTCTCTTCGAGGAGTTGGCCCCTACGCCCAGGCCTCGCCACCAGTCAGAGTCGGAGGCTCCTCCTCATCTCATCCGTTTGCTCTTCGAAGTGGGCGCGGGCGCCTGGCGGTGTCGCCTCTCTTCGACAGACCGCTTGCATGCTTCGTGGCCCCATGCGAAGCTCCACTGGAGGTTTCAATGGTCGCGTGCGCATGGCGGCGCCGTCTCATGTCGGCACACTCCTCACACTCTTTCGCGGACCCCACAGGGAGCTCCACCGAATGCCCCAATGGGCTCGGGTGCGTGGCGGCGCCGCTTCATGTCGGCATACCCCTCGCACGCTTCGTGGCCCCACAGGGAGCCACCGAAGGTCCCAGCGGGCGCGGTCGCACGGCGCACCGCCTCGTTGCGGCATACCGCCTGCACGCTCCGTGGCCCCACAGGGATCTCCGCCGAAGGCCGCAGTGAGCTCCGTGGCCGCACAGGGAGCTCCACCGAAGGCAACCGTGGGCGCGGGCACGGGCGCATGGCGGCACCGCCTGAGGTCGGCAGGCCCCTCGCACGTCTCGTGGCCCCACGGGGAACCCCACCGAAAGCCCCAGTGGGCGCGGACGCATGGCGGCAGCGCCTCATTCAGGCACGCCGCTCACACGCTTCGTGCCCCCATAGGGAGTTACACCCACGACCACAGTGGGCGCGGTCGCATGGCGGCGTCGCGCCTTTTCGGCACACCCCTCTCATGTTTTTCGTGGCCTTGCGCTTGGAAGCATTCTCCAAGCGCTTGTTGCTCAATCCTCACTCCTGTGCATCCCTACCCTTGCTCGTCTTCGTCCTTCTCATCCACGTTCTAGTATTCTTGCTTGTCCCCTCCTGTTTATCCGCCGTTCCTTCCAGATCGTGTTATACGGAACATCCAAGGAGCTCCTGTGGGGGCACCGGGCCGAGATTTACAGCGTCAAAGATAGATACATCGACGGAACTTGAGGGCACTCCATTCTGTGCCTACGGCACATCGGCGGATTTTGGAGCCAAACGTTGTCAGTTTCACATCGGGAGTCAGCGCGTTCGAGAGACAGGGGCAGTGGCAGCATGCGCTGTGTATATTCGGTGAGATGCGGGACAGAGACGTGGATTCGAGCGCTATCAGCTACAATGCTGGAATCAGCGCGTGTGCAAAAGGCGGGCAGTGGCAGCGGGCGTTGTCACTACTGAGGCAGTTGCTGAGATCGAGATTGGAGCCAGATGTCATCAGCTACAATGCCGGGATCAGCGCGTGCGAGAGAGGCCGGCAGTGGCAACAGGCGCTCATGCTACTCAGAGAGTTGTGGTCAGTGGATTTGGAGCCAGATGTCATCAGCTACAGTGGTGGCATCAGCGCGTGCGAGAAAAGTGGACAGTGGCAGCAGGCGCTGTCGTTGCTCAGAGAATTATGTGATGCGGCGGGGGCGCCAGACGCTACAAGTTATAACGCTGCAATCAGCGCGTGCGAGAAAGGCGGTAAGTGGCCGTACGCATTATTGTTGCTCCACGAGTTTCGTGGTGCGAAATTGGATCCAGATGGCGTCAGCTACTGTGCTGGGATCAGCGCCTGCGAAAAAGGTGGGAAGTGGCAGCAAGCGTTGTCGCTGCTCTCGGATCTGCAGGAAGTGACGTTGAAGCCAGACGTCATTAATTAAGTGATTAACCCAATGGGTTCAAAAAGCCGTGGCAGCCTGGAGCCACGGCTCGCAGCCCATAGATCCATATCATGCCTGGAGGTGGCTGGGGCGACTGTACATAGTCGGGTCGGGTTGTCGCAGTTACTCAAGAATTGGATTTCGACACGTGCCCCCAAATCGTGCTTGAGCTAAGTGTTCTTATTCGTTCTGGAAGGAATTGGTTGAGTGCGCTGGATATTCTGGTAGTTCTCTCGGGTCCCTCTGGGGGCCCGAGGGAACTACCATAACCCGTTGAGCAAGACCGGCGAGTTCTTGGAATTCATGTACACATGACACACACACACACTGTGGCCCAGGTGATGGGTAGCATCGCGCGAACGCATGGGAGGCAAATGTGTCCCTTCTTTGCACGAAGTTCAATATTCAAACTGACTGGAGGGACTGTCTCAATGGAGTCAATTATGCAAAAGCCGGATCCTCGGCCTCGACCGCTGTGCGAGTCAAGAGGTCGCCAGGCAAACCGGGAACACCAGCCAGACCGACCTGCGATAGGCAACCCCATGCACTGAAACACGGCCTGAAAGATGGTCGAGAGCGACGGTCGTCGCGAGCGATTCTCCTCCCCTCCCTCCCCTCCCCTCGCCCCACCCCCGTCCCTTGGCGGCGCGTTTGAGGTGGTAGGCGGAGGGGGGACGGCTTCTTAGAAGCACCCTGCTTCTCAGCAGGCCTCGGCCACTACGTCTGTAGAGAAGGCCACCGCCCTCTGAGAAGCAGGGGTGCTTCTCGGAGGCCTTCCCCCCTCCCCCTGCCCCCCTCTGCGCGTGGCCGAGCCGCCCCCCCTCTTCTCCCCACCGCCAATTTGGGGCCTCCGCTCCTCTGGGGGGGCCCCTCGCGAGGGCCTCCCCTTCGAGGGGGGGCACTTCTACGTAGGCCTCCTAGATGGGGCCTCGGTCCGTCCTCCTCCTCCTCCTCCCTCCTCCTCCTCCTCCTCCTCCTCCTCCTCCTCCTCCTCCTCCTCCTCCTCCTCCTCTCCTCCTCCTCCTCCTCCTCCTTCCTCCCTCCCTCCTCCTCCTCCTCCCTCCTCCTCCCCTCCTCCTCCTCCTCCTCCCCCTCCTCCTCCCTCCTCCCTCCTCCCCCTCCTCCTCCCCCTCCCTCCTCCTCCTCCCTCCTCCTCCCTCCTCCCTCCTCCCTCCTCCTCCTCCTCCTCCCCCTCCTCCTCCTCCTCCTCCTCCTCCCTCCCTCCCTCCCTCCTCCTCCTCCTACCCTCCTCCCCCCCCCCCCCTCCTCCTCCTCCTCCTGCCCCTCCCTCCTCCTCCCCTCCTCCCTCCTCCTCCTCCTCCAGGGGAGGGCGCGGCGCGCCGCCCCCACCGGGGGGCCCGGCCGCGGGGAGCACCGCGGCCGGGCCCCCGTCGGCGCCGGGGGCAGCCACCGCCGCCGGCCTGGCGCGGCCGCGGTCCGCGCGCGGCGCCCCGGTCTCGGGCGGGGCGGAACCTGAAGGGTGTTTGTCGGTTTTCGTCTCCCGGGGCCCACACGCTGGAACCATTGGGTATGGTGCCAGGCAAGTCCCCAGAGCTTTCGGAGCATCAGCAGCAGCAGGCCATCCCTGCACGGAGTCGGACGGGCTCGTTCCAGAGCGCGTCCTCTGCACGGGGCTGGGCTGGCCTTTTCGAAGGGGACACGCCGTAGACTCGTCGACGCTGCATGCGCTCGTGGACGCAGCGAAGGGTCGGCCACATTCAGGAGGGGAAAAAACACACAGACACAATTAATCGTCGATCCCCCATAAAATATTGGAAAATATGGGAAGTGGGGGAAAACCAAAAACCCAGAAAGTATTGGAAAATATTGGCAATCGCGTTATTTGTATCTATTGTAGTGGCCTCCGGCCAGTGCCGCCGATCCGGGGCGGTCCGGATGATGATGATGATGATGATGATGATGATGATGATGATGATGATGATGATGATGATGATGATGATGATGATGATGATGATGATGATGATGATGATGATGATGATGATGATGGTGATGGTGATGGTGATGATGATGATGGTGATGGTGATGGTGATGGTGATGGTGATGGTGATGGTGATGGTGATGGTGATGGTGATGGTGATGGTGATGATGATGACGACGACGAAGAGACGACGACGACGAAGACGACGACGACGATGATGAGGATGATGATGATGATGATGATGATGAGGATGATGATGGTGGTGGTGGTGATGGTGGTGATGGTGATGTAATGGTGATGTGATGGTGATGGTGATGGTGATGGTGATGGTGATGGTGATGGTCCCGCCCCCCCAACCCCCCTCCTCTCTCCTGTCCCCCCCCCTTTCTCCTGTCCCCTCCCCCCCTCTCTCTCCTTTCCCCTCCCCCTCCCCCCTCTCTCCTGTCCGCCCCCCCTCTCCTGTCCACACCCCCCCTTTCTCCCCCTCCCTCTCTCCTGTCCCCCCCTCTCCCCTCCTCCTCTCTCCTGTCCCCCCCCCCCCCTCCCTCTCTCCTGTCCCTCTCTCCTTTTTCCCCCACCCCTCTCTCCTGCTGCCCCCCCCCCCTCCCTCTCTCCTTTGCCCCCCGCCCCCCCTCTCTCCTGTCCCCCCTCCCCCCCCTCTCCTGTCCCCCCCCCCCCCCTCCCCCCCCCTCTCTCCTGTCCCCCCCCCCCCCTCCTCTCTGCTCCTATCCCCCCCCCTCTCTCCTTTCCCCTCCCCTCCCCCCCCCCTCCCCCCCCTCTCTCCTGTCCAGGGCGCAGTGCAGGGGGGGGAGCTGGGGGAAAGAGAAGGTGCAGAGGCGGGGGGGGGTGCAGGAAAGGGGAGGGGGGGGGGGGAGAGGAGATTGCAGGGGAAGGGGGGGGGCAGGAAGAGATGTGATGATCCCGCCCCCCCCCCCTGCAGAGCGAAGCTTGAGCGAGCTTTATGATATGCGTGGCCTCCTCCAGCTGGGAAAATGATAACTCCCCACAACATCCCCCAGGGAGTCTCAAAACAGTTGTTTCCCACGTTTCCGACGCAGCCCCAAAACAGTTTAAAATTACCCTGCGACGTACCCAACCCACGTGCATCAAATGGCAAGAGGAGTATGCCAACATTAGCGGGAACAACGACAGTGTAGACGCGGCGATTTGCTGTGCAAGCTACATGGATGCGCATGCGTTGCACGATTCACAGGACGACGATCGAAAGAACGAGGCTTGAGGCCCCAGGATCGAAGAAGAACGGGTACGGGAACGAGGGGTAGGAGAGGGATGGAATGGAGGGCGGGGGGGGCGAAAGGCCATCGCGGAAGCAGCAGCATGCATGGAGAAGGTGAGGCGGGGAATAGGACGACGATGAAAGTGGCGGGAGGAGACAGAAGACTGCCGCGTTTTTCAAGTGCGAGCTAAACCCGCAGCGCTGCCTGCGCCATGTCGTCGCAGAGTTCCACATGATAAAACTTGTTTAGAGTGCAAGGAACGAGCGAGGCGTAGCTCGCCCGCTAGCTTCTCCGCCTCCTTCCCGCACATTTCAGCGCGGGAGCTGAACGCTCGCAGGCGCGCCGCCAGGTCTGCGGGCGGCCCGCGGGAAAGAAACTCAAGGCCGGGGTCGCGTATCATCAATCGGTTGTCCATCGTCCAAAGTTGCACTGGCGACGTACTGGTTGAACGCGGAGCGAGCAGCATCACGCGCGTGCCTGAACGCCACGCAGGTACAGTGCACGCGCGATTGGGACTTCAGGTCGATCACGCGCGTCTCCACCAGGCTTGGCAACACCACGCGACTGAGGATCTCACTGCGGTCTGCCATGCTGCTGTCCGCGAATGCAATGCGCTGCCTGCAAGTAAGGCGGCGGCGTCCACTTGTCTCAGAAGATGTTCCCGCGGGCCCGAAGGGCGACCGCCAGCTCGAGCCGCGGCGCCGGCAGGCCAGATAAGGATCATGCAACAGCAAAGACGATGACAGAGCAACGAGGTATCGGCGAGTGCATGACCGGCCTCCGTTTCCTGCACTTCTTTCCTGTAGTTCCCCTAGCTCATCGAGCTCAGCAGATGTTTCTGCGGGTCCGAAGGACGACCGCCAGCTCGAGTCGCAGCGCCACGTGGCACGAACCGCAGAGCAAGGGCACGCGAGCATTGCTCGTGGTCAGAATCTGAGTCCCCGTGGTGCCTCACTCCGCTGGCCACCCACCAGCAGCCCTCGAAAGTGGCGACAGTTTCACAGATCGCAGCCGCCCAGGGGTGGCGAGGTCTAATCTGAGTCCAGTTTCACACAGGGATGGCGAGGTCTAATCTGAGTCCCCGTGGTGCCTCACTCCGCTGGACCCACCAGCAACCCTCGAAAGTGGCGACAGTTTCACAGATCGCAGCCCCCCAGAGATGGCGAGGTCTAATCTGAGTCCCCGTGGTGCCTCACTCCGCTGGACCCACCAGCAGCCCTCGAAAGTGGCGACAGTTTCACAGATCGCAGCCCCCCAGAGATGGCGAGGTCTAATCTGAGTCCCCGTGGTGCCTCACTCCGCTGGACCCACCAGCAGCCCTCGAAAGTGGTGACAGTTTCACAGATCGCGCACCCCCCCAGAGATGGCGAGGTCTAATCTGAGTCCCCGTGGTGCCTCACTCCGCTGGACCCACCAGCAGCCCTCGAAAGTGGCGACAGTTTCACACAGGGATGGCGAGGTCTAATCTGAGTCCCCGTGGTGCCTCACTCCGCTGGACCCACCAGCAGCCCTCGAAAGTGGCGACAGTTTCACAGATCGCAGCCCCCCAGAGATGGCGAGGTCTAATCTGAGGTCTGAATCCCCGTGGTGCCTCACTCCGCTGGACCCACCAGCAGCCCTCGAAAGTGGCGACAGTTTCACAGATCGCGCAGCCCCCCGAGATGGCGAGGTCTAATCTGAGTCCCCGTGGTGCCTCACTCCCACTCCGCTGGACCCACCAGCAGCCCTCGAAAGTGGTGACAGTTTCACAGATCGCAGCCCCCCCAGAGATGGCGAGGTCTAATCTGAGTCCCCGTGGTGCCTCACTCCGCTGGACCCACCAGCAGCCCTCGAAAGTGGCGACAGTTTCACAGATCGCAGCCCCCCCCCCAGGGATGGCGAGGTCTAATCTGAGTCCCCGTGGT